TATCTTGTTCTTGTTTTAGATCTGGGATTCCTACTTTTACCTCGCAGTCATTTTTATAAACCAGTTGTGTCTGCAGTTGGAGATGTTCACACCTTCCAAGAAGAAAAAGGTGTTAGAAAAGTAAGTATCAATGTATAATCAGGTGAGAAATGTTACCTCTTAAATAATATTTAGTTCAAATGATTCATAAATTAGAATGCCCATAACTGGAAATCACACAGTGAAGAACCGGTGACCAGGGGGTCAAGAAGCAGTCTTTTCTTGACGTCTTAATGTTTCAAACATGTTTACACATTGTTTTGACCTGGCTCTTTCAGGATTCAAAATGTCTATAGATGCAAAAAATTGTGAAATAGATCTGTTTTACTAAAAGGTTTACATGAGGATTTGACTTAGAGGCATCATGACATATATATTAAACATCTTTAATTAAAAACTCCTTGCCTTTTAATTTGGAATGATAGATTGTATCCTAAAGACACACAAATACTTCTTTGTTCTGGAGGCATTGTATCAGGTTTGGTTTTTTGTTCTATTTCAGGTATGGTGACATGCGGGTAACAATGGGTTGTGAAATTTTCAGCATGTGGCAAAACCTAGGTAAGTGAGGAAAAGAGAAGCCACATCTACTGTACAGTTCCTCGCTGTACCTTGAAGTGTACAAATGAAGAAAGGCAATTTACCAGTGACACCATTTGAAACCCAATGTCTAAATCAATAAACATCTATAGAAAGTAATTGACACTGTGGCATTGAATAAGGTTACAACAAATTCTTTAAATTGGTCTCTAAGAAAAGTCACCTTACCTTTGTGTGTTTCATTATTAATTAATGATAAATTTTATAATCTAGCATTGCTCCAACATTACACATATTTCCAGCGATGAGGTAACCTTTCAGAATTTGGAACTGTAACAACTCAAAATTTCTAGAACTCTGAATTGAAGCTATGAATCATAATAAATTTAGGTTAAACTTCATGAAACGTTGACTTGAACGTCACTACTCTTAAAAACTTGAAAACATTGTCCTATATCATAAGGAGTATAGCCAAAGGATTTTAAAAGCATCTGCAGTTGCTAAGAAACTGTTGGATCCAATTTTGTTAATCTGCCATAGCAGATAGAGTATATTATCCCAGAAAATTGATGGCACAGATCTGGTCACATAGAAAACAATAATATTTGGAAAACAAATTGTTTTAAAATTCATTGGCATAAGGTCCCTTTCTAGAGATTTGTAACTTATTTCATTTGGTATATTAACTATGCAAGTTTTTAGTATTCATTTACTATTACTGCATCTTAATGCTCCTCTTTTATTTATTAAAGAGATTGACCTATTTGAGTTGAATGTGTAATGACCTGAAAGTATCTTTTCTCTTGGGCTCATCCAAGCACAACTTGGAGATGGAAGGATTTATTTTCTGTGAATGAAAATAGAACCATTATTGTTTTACTTCCACTCGTGTTACAGACTGATTTTTGAGCAGAATCATTACAGGGTGATTTTTTTTAATAGGGTATGTTTATTCTTCAAATATACATAACAACTTGAGGGACTTTGGTATATATAATTAAGCCCAGTGTTCAATGCTTGCTGGTGATTTCAGGAAAAGGAAAAAAAAAAAAATGAAGCCGGGAGCAATGACCCATGCCTGTAATCCCAGCACTTTGGGAGGCTGGAGCAGGCAGATCACTTGAGGTCAGGAGTTTGAGACTAGCCTGGCCAACATGGTGAAACACTGTATTTAATAAAAATACAAAAATTAGCCAGGTGTGGTGGTGGGCACCTTTAATCTCAGCTACTTGGGAGGTTGAGGCAGGAGAATCACTTGAACCTGGGAGGTGGAGGTTGCAGTGAACCAACACTGCACCACTGCATTCCAGCCTGGGCGACAGAGTGAGACTGACAAAAAAATAAAAGAGTTATCATCTTGAAAACAACCTTCAACTATGTAAGGCCAGCCAGAAGATATCATGGTCTGTCTTTAGTTGCAGCTCAAAAATAGTTTTCTTATTTGGAGACTGCTCTTCTTAGTCTTCAGGTTTTTCAGGTTTCATTCATTCTTTGTGTCCTTATTGTTTCTAAAGAAGATCAAGGCCCTTGTAGTGTCCGTATTGCATTCGACATTAATTTAGCAAGATGTTTTTGAGAGAATGCTGCATTGAATCTGTTTGAATGCACTTGTGATTGTGTAAGCTCTTTTCTGGGCTCAAATTATGAGAGCAGGACAGATTCTGTTGAGTTACAAGAATGTTAAAAAACATGGCCAATTCCTGTTCCAGATGCATCTCAGCATTGCCATCGATGGTTATTTCCACATAAACCTGTATCCAAACCATAATAGCTATGCATTTAGTCCCATGACCCGCAGGCTGCTAAGTAAAGCTGTCACATGTAATCTCCCTAAACGTGTCACTGTATACTTCATAAACTTTTATCCTCTCTTTTGTCTTTCTTCTAAAGTGAAAGTATTTCTGCCTCTCTGGTTTTTATGTTAAATTACTTCTCTGTTTTTCTCAGAGATCTAGAGAATATGGAAAATTTCTGGAGCATATCAATCTCTATAATGCAGTATTTTGTTATAATGTAGCATCAGCATCCTTAGAAGCTTGTAAGAAATGCAAAATCTCTCACTCCACTTTAGACCTACTGAAACACCATCTCTGGAATTGGGGCACAGCAGTCTGTTTTAGCAAGTTCTCCAAGTGATTCTTATGTACTTAGCTAAAAACTGAAAAGCACTGCTTTAGTTTCCTCTTTCTTTGTTGTTACAGCCCTAAAGACTTAGCTCTAGCACAATCTTCAGACTCTTTTAGAAAAGGCTCCTCCTTTATACTCAACTTACAGATTCCCAGCATGACATGGTTCAAGCGTAGGGTCAGTGTAAATTTTCATTTCATTCCTTGGTTACTGCATTATTTCCCAAGAGTTGTGTCTAGACTTTTAAAGACTTCCCAAATATTAGGTGAATTTTAAGGTTTGTTGCTGTTGAGCAATAGCTAGAATTGGAAAATATTCGGAAATGTTAAAGCCTCCCTTCCAACATATATTTTTATAAAATGAGGAGAAGAATAAGTATTCAGAGTGATATGTTGATACCCCTTATAGGCCTTAGATCAGCTTGTTACTTAGGAATATCAAAATATATTAGTTATTGTTTGGTTTACTTATAAATATGTCATGTTGAGAATTTGAATACTATAAGTGAATTTATTCAGGTAATTATAAACTTTCTATGTTTTAATGTAACAGTCCAATAAATTCAATTTGACTAAGTTTATGAAGCACTGGATATATGCAAGTATTTTGGAGGACGTAAGAAAAAATGGTCCACACCTATTAAAATCTTAGTTTTAAAATCTTATATTTTAAAATTTTGTCCAGTTTAGTTGGAACTATGAGAAAGCTTGACAAAGACAATATCATCATGTTTTAGTAAAGCTAGTAAGCTTTTATGATTTCATATATCAAGATCCTCAATATTTTTAATAGATACAAAATGCACTAACTTTCAGAAAATAAGATGAAGGGAGGAAATGCCCAAGGTCACTTAATGTACTTTTATCCACTTGAAACTATCTAGTTGGTCTAATTTAGAAATACACATTTTACTGGATAATACTTTTAAATCAGATTTGGTCGTTGATGTTTACCTCTGAAGTGTTGAAATTCTTCCATATGCTGGAAACATGTTGTTTTTTTCCATTCCACTGAGGACAGGGAGGGGAAAGACACATGTAATTCAGTGACTTGTCTGCTTTTAAACTTAAAGCTGTAGGATTTTAAAATCTGATCATTATATCCCTTAGCAACCTGTGAGCAATTTTTCAACCCTCTGAGACCTAGAACTGCTTACGTTTAGTGTTATTTTTAACCATAAATCATCTGACTAATAGACATTTAGTTGTGTGTGCTTGACATATTTTATAATTCTAAAATTATGTAACAACTTATCTGTAGTATTAAATGTGCTTTTATAATGATTATTTACATAAAGACAGTTTAACCTTTGTTCTGAATAAGTAAATATTTGGATCCTTTAGTATATTTGTAGTTCACACAACTGGAGGAAGCGAGTTCTAACTTCTCTTCTGCTGTCCCCTCAGTCTTGGAGTTTTTGCAAGCAGAGCCATGAGCACCCATTTTTACGTCTACCAGAATGAATCCATGGCTCTGTTAGTTTGTGCTTCAGCCCTAGTTCTATGAAGTCTGTTGGGAACATAGAAATAAAATCAAAAGGTTTTGTTGTCTAAAGACAACAAATAGTCCTCCACAGGTCAACGAGGCAGAGCTTCTCTTCTTCCCTTGTGAGACAGCAGTGGATCCTGGGGACAGAAAGGCTTTAAGCTCTTGCCAGGAACCTTAAGTCATGCTGCCTGTCTCCAGTGCATACAGAGCACTGAACACATCATCCTGCTCATATAATTAATATTTAGTTTTAAAGTATTTTTTAATTGTGGTAAAATATACAAAACATGTACATCTTGGCTGGGTGCAGTGGCTTACACCTGTAATCCCAGCATTTTGGGAGGCTGAGGTGGGTGGATCACGTGAGGTCAGGAGTTCGAGACCAGCCTGGCAAACATGGCAAAACCCCATCTCTGCTAAAAATATAAAAATATAAAAATTAGCCGGGTATGGTAGCATATGCCTGTAATCCTAGCTACTCAGGAGGCTGAGGCAGGAGCATCGCTTGAATCTGGAAGGCAGAGGTTGCAGTGAGCCGGGATTGTGCCATTGCACTCCAGCATGGGGGACAGAGCAAGACTCTGTCTCAAAAAAAATAAAAATAAATAAAAGTAAATGTACATTCGAACTACACAGGGCACAGCTCAGTGATACTAAGTATATTCATACTTCAATGCAACCATCACCACCATCCATCTCTAGAACTCTTTTCATCTTGTAAAGCTGAAATTCTATACCCAATAAACAATAACTTCTCATTCCCCTGTCTCCCCAGCCCCTGGTACTAACATTCTACTTTCTGTCTCTGTGAATTTAACTACTGTAGGTACTTCACATAAGTGGAATCATACAGAATTTATCTTTTTGTAACTGGCTTATTTTGCTTAACAGATTGTCCTCAAGATTCATTCATGTTGTAATGTATCGAAATTTTCCTTTTTAAGGCCGAATAATATTCTATTGTATGCATATACCACATTTGCTTTATTCATTCATTCCTCAGTGGACATTTGGGTTGCTGCTGCCTTTTGTCTATTGTGATTAGTGCTGCTATGAACGTGGGCATATAAAATATCTCTGAGATCTGGCTTTCAGTTCTTTTCGGTATATAGCCAGAAGTGGAATTGCTGGATCATATGGTAATTCTATTGTTAATTTTTTGAGGAACTGTTCTCCACAGCTGCTGTAACATTGTACATTCTCACCAACAGAGCACACACATTCTAGTTTCTCCATTTTCTCTCCAGCATTTGTTATTTCCTGGTTTTTTGACAGTAGTCATCCTCATGGGTATGAGGTGGTATCTCATTTGCAGTTTTGGTAAAATAATGTATTTTTGGAGATCAAAGCCAGCTAGTGATAAGTAAACACCTTTTCTTAAATATGGTATTCCTCAGCGTTTTCAT